CCTTAAAAATTTCCTCCTCTCTGTTCAGTTTCTTTAGCTGTGCAGAGGAGACATGATCTGGGAACACAGGATGCCCGCAGAATTGGAGATCTCGACCAGTTATACTCCAGACAGGGCTGATATCCACAATTTACAAAGAACTTCAGAAATTAAATACAGAGGTAATAAAACTACCAGCCAATAATCTGGGCTAACAGATTAAACAGGCAGTTTTCAAAAGAAGAAACATAAACAGCCAAAACCTATTTAGTAAGTGTAATCATCAGGTTTTGGCTGTTTATGTTTACATCTGTAGTCAGCAGGAACGTGTAAATTAAGATCACTTTGGAGATACTGGAGTGATTGTCATGAAGCAAACAAACAAATAATCAAGAGGATGTGAGAAAAGAGCTTGTTCACTGCTGGGGGGAGTGCAAATCAACAGCTGTTATGGAAATGAGATTGGAGTGTCCTCAGAAAGTTAAAGCCAGAACTACCCCATTAAAGAGAACTGCCCAGTTCTGCCAATTCTGGGCGCATACCCTGAGAATTGTACATCTGGCCAGAGAGATATCCACATATCCATGTTTACTGGTGCTCTGTGTACAGCAAGAAATGGAGCCAGCCTAGATGGGTGTCAACAGAGAAGCAAATGATGAAATCTGGCACATATGTAATTACAAAATCTGCTGGAGCGATTGGAATCGGCAATGCACAGTATTATGTGAGGGAACCCAAACTCAGGGAAAAGTACACGTCTCCCTCCTCTGTGGCCTAACTTACAATGTATACATGTACATCATAAGAGACAGCTGTAGGAATGGACAATATTTGGTGATGAGGAAGGCAAAAAAACGAGCTGTGAAATAGGATATAAAGCTAATTTTCTCCTAGCTTCAACTCATCATAACTTTTTCTTTGTGGCTGAAGAATGCATGTAACAGTCATAACTGAAATAGTTCACTGACATGTTCACGGTTTGGGACTATGTTTTTGTTACAGTGGCTAACGTGCTATTCTCGTTTGTGAGTTCACTAAAATGTGATGCTTTGGAAACTCATTCACCCCACAACTGTTTGGGTACTGGCCCATCACGGCATGGTACTACATGTGGACTGACAAGCGCAGACAGGAAGTGTGCTCCCTCTCTTTGCTAGAAGTCTGAGTTTCTGTGTGCTCGACAGAGCAAAGGACCAAGGTGGTTATATTACTGTGAGTGTTCCCCAAATAAACAGTTGTTCTCCTTTATTCTGGGCTCTTGTGGACAGCCTTAATCATGTCTACAGTGACTTAAGTCTCCTTTGGCTATCAGCAGCAGCACTGGCTTTCTCGTGTTTAGTACAGTACACACTCCTTTCCTCTTCTCACAAAAAAACCAAATCATGTTCTCGGGTTTTGTACAAAGCTTTGTCTAAAAGCAAGCACTATGTCAAGAACTTAGCAGTACATTAATTTATTTTCTAGGCTGAAAAGGGGAACTAGAACACAAGAGAGCAAGAGAATAAATGAGTGCGAAGAACCTATGGGGAAAATGCTATGAGAAGATGCATGGCGGTGGGATGCACAGGAAGGACCAGCACCTAACACTGCAGGCCAGAAGTCCATGGGGTTTCCTAAGGCACCCAAACAAAACAAAAAGACAGTAAACAGGATGGGGTAGATTTTCCTTTTCATGGTAAATACAACAAGTGAGATGCTTCCAAAATGGTAAATACAATACATGAGATCCTTACAAAATACAAGGCACAGCCAGGCGGTGGTGGCATCCCAGCAGTCGGAATGCAGACAGGCACATCTCTGAGTTCGAGGCCAGCCTGGCATACAGAGATTTCCGGGATAGGTTCCAAAGCTACACAGAGAAATCCTGTCTTGAAAAACCAACCAACCAACCAAACAAACAAACAAAACGCCAAAAACCCACAACGCACATACTTCAAAACTTAACATGCTACTGGTTACATACTTGGAGAGTCCCAGAGACACTGGGGACTTATTTGTATAAACTAAGTTAGTAAATCAATAAGAGAAGCAAGGTAAGGATAGGATCCAGAAAGGCAACATTTAAAAGCAAGCAGTGGCTAGCAAGATGGCTCAGTGGGTAGAGATGCTTTGGTTCAGGTCTGACAACCCAAGTTCAGTTTCCCTTATCCTTTAAGACAAGGGGAGAGGAGGACTCTGAGAGCACTCCTCTGATCTCCATACAGTAAAGTGGCGCACGCGCACACATACACCACACACACACACACACACACACACACACACTCCTAAACTGTTTTAAATTAGTCCTTTTAAACTGGCTGCAGGTTGGTGATATGGTACAAGGGGTATATGTGCTTGCAACCAGGTCTGATGATTGCAGTTCTATATTCCCAAGACCCACATGGTGCAAGGAAAGAACCGACTCTCACAAGTGTGCACTGTGAGATGCATGTGTTATGTACACATACACAAAAAATAGATACACTAGTGAAATGTTAACACTTTAAATTAAGTAAGCTTTATGACAAGCAGAAAACTGAAGAACACACACAGAGAAACAGGCAAGCACAGTCCCTTGTTGTACCTTTAAGTATATAGGTACTACACAGGAATGTCAGTGTACACAGAAGCCACCTTAAAAGGACTCTAGCTTGACAAGAAGTGAGACATTTTGAACATCAGAATGAACAGAATGAGAGAATTCATTCCAGAGCCATTCTGACAAGGGTGCAGATAGATTACAAATATTTTAAAATGGAATAGAAAGTTCGGTACAGAAGAATGCTGTCTAGTTAATTTGGAAGAAGCAACAAAAGTGGCCATCTAAAGTAAGTGTAAGATGAGCCAGGCAGTGTATGTATATACATATCATTATATATTTATAATATGTTATACTTATATAGCATACATATAAATATATAAATTATATAAATAATACAAATATTAAGAAAACTTCTAAAAGAGATTACTAATAACCATACAATAACTGTGAACTGGGGATATAGTTGACAAGGTACTTACTTAGCATCCAGACTCAACCCCCACCTCTGTATAGGGCAGGCATGGCAACACAAGCCTCTCCATCACTAAGGAAGTGAAGGTAGAATACGCAGCTACATAGTGAGTTCCAGAACACCCTTGAGGCACTGTCTCAAAAACAGCAGCAGCAAAAAAAAAAAAAAAACCCAAAAAACCAACCAACCAAACAAACAAAAAAACCCAAAAAAAAAACCACATCGAAAAATACAAGCAGTTTATTGTGGATTGAGCAGAGTGTTTTCTTTCATATATAGACCCCAGATTGTACACACATGCATTACACCTGGTATGGAAGTAGGACTATTTGGGAATAGGAACAGGGCTAGTAATAGGAGACAGGAGAGTGTATGGGGATAGAATAAAGTTGAAGCATGTGATATGCTTGAACAAAAGTGTCATTTGAAACCCATCAACTTGTATAATGGATACATGCTAACTAATAATTTCTGAAATGTTAAAACTTCACAGGATGGTTTTAGAGCTATACTAATTTGACTCACTTGAGTGTTGCATTGTTGGATTACAGGTTACCACATTCCCGATTCGATTCACACTGACTACATTCCAGAAGTACTTATCACAAGGTCTGAATGCGAGGGCAGCAAGAGGCTCCTTTAGGCAATTTAGTTCAGTCTCACTCTCTAGTTGACTGTTTTAGCATATAAATCACTCCTTGGGTAAACGTTCCCCCTACCAAATCTGCTGACCTGACTATAATCAAGGGAACAAGCTCCAGCAAGCTGTCAGATCTCCACAAGCAGGCACGTGTGTATGCGTGTATGGCTGTGCACGCTCACATGTGGTTTATCAGCAAATTCGTGAGAAAACAATGATGGAAGAAACTCTTAATACAAGTTGCAAATTCCAACACCTTGTTGAGCCTTTAAGAATGGGTAGATAGCCGGGCGATGGTGGCGCACGCCTTTAATCCCAGCACTCGGGAGGCAGAGGCAGGTGGATCTCTGTGAGTTCGAGACCAGCCTGGTCTACAGAGCTAGTCCCAGGACAGGCTCCAAAGCCACAGAGAAACCCTGTCTCGAAAAACCAAAAAAAAAAAAAAAAAGAATGGGTAGATACCAGGCTAGTTCACTTGGACATAAATTTGCTTTGTTTCAGCCTTTCAATTTTTTTGTGAGTGGTCATGGACATAAGAAACAGGTTCTTCTTCCTTGATAGCAAATATTACCTCAGTCCTTGCCATGGTTACTTACCGCCTCTTCTCCATGGCTAAGGTTACGCTATCTTCCTGTTGTCACATGGATTTTGGGAACATGCATCACCAAGCCCACAAACTTGGTACCAGTAAAGTCGAAAATATCAAATACAGCACACTAAGGCACCAGCTCAGATATAACTGTAAGACATGGTTTCGTCTTCTATCTGAGAATCTCCAAGTGGCTGAAGCAGTCTACATCTTTCCTATCACACAATCAAAATCAGCTAACGTGAACAAGTTTTGTTTGAAGCCCTTGAGAATTGGATGCCTTCTTTCATTCATAGATTTATTTTTCCAAACAAGATATTGCTCCAAAATCTACACTGGACTTGAATGCTCTCCCTGCCTCGGCTTTGTTATTGCTAGGATTACAGATGCATAGCACCCCATCTATCTGGGGGATAATTGAGTCAAGGATCATGCTGGAGACTGGCTTGTCTTTATTTGCTGCATCTCTTCAGTGTGAATGTCCACTTAATCCTTCCCTGAGATGGTATTGTTTAAAAATGTTTTCAAGGAGGACTAATCAACACCTTTCCTTTTGTTTCTAATCAATACCTTTTGTTTCTAATCATCATTTTAATTCCTAATTAAAACTTGCTTTAAAGTCCACTATAGGTCAAGAAGCCATGGATGGGACCGGAGAGATGGCTCAGTGGTTAGCAGTGAAACCTGCTCCTACAAAGGATCCAAGTTTGATTCCCTGAACTCACCTTGGGCAACTCAAAACACAAACATAGCCATATACACAATCATACTTTGGAAAAAATAAAGTCTCAGGCACAAAACCGTTTCTATACAATTTTTATTGCATGATCATTCCATATATACTTATAGAATTAATCACTTTGACAATGGATTTGTTCTGTGAACCTTTTCATTTATCCAAAACATTTTTATTAAATATAATGAATTATGTTACATCTTTTTTGATGAATTTCAACTTAAATTTACACTAATGGGGATTGAACCAAGGGCCTGGAACACACCAGGCAGGTAAGTGCACGGCCACCAAGCTTGTCCCCAGCCCTAACTTGCCCTCTGCCACTGCAACAGGGTATTTCCAGCACAAGTAATGCTTTGTGTCTCCACGTTACTTCTGAGTACATTCTGATTCATCTTAAATTTTCTTTTGGTGATATTTATTTGTGAAGAGGCTTTTACATTTTAATTTAAAAACCATGTAAAGTTTACCATCTTAACTATTTGTGTGCACTTTATTACTGTTAAGAATAGAGACATTGTTATAACATTTCTAATATTCTCATCTAACAAAACTGATATCATATATTCACTTAATAGCAATTTATAATTCCCCTCTTCTCTCAGCTTTAACCAATATCCATCTCTAGCTACATGCTCCACATTAATGGAATCATGCAGTATTCTCTTTTGTCGATGAGTATTTCTCATAGCATGCAGTCTTCAGGTTCATCTATGTTTTATCTTGTAGCTAACTGAATAGAGCACTATCTCATGGGTTTATTTACATTTATATGCTTAATGAAAATGCTGAATAGATTTAAAAATATTTATAAGCCATTTTATATTATCTTTAGGAAGTTACCTATACAAGTCCTTTGATATATTAAATTTTGAAAATTAAATTATACTCTAGAATTGTAGGTGTTCTTTATATATACAAGACAATTCCTTATCATGTTTTATACATGTGATATACAAGAAACTACTGATTAGTGGAATGTCAGAAAGCTCTTCGCTACGGCCGGCCTTCTTCAAAATTAGCACCACCTTGATGCTGTGCCCCTTAAATACTGTTCCTCATGTTGTGGTGAACCCAACCATAAAATCATTTTATGTAATAAAATGTAACTGTAATTACATAGCTGTAATTTTGTAATGCTATAAATCATAAATTGTCTGATATGCAGAATACCTAATATTCGACTCTTGTGAAAGGCTGCTGAACCTCCCCCCCCCCCCAAGTGCTGCAACACACAGTCTAAAAGAACTGCTTTCCTAAGTGTTTTATAGTTATGGGTGTTATATTTAAGCATTTCATCCAATTTCAAGTTTTTAAAAAATATAGTGTATTGTTTTTACATTTGGATTCATAGTTTTTCCAAAACCATTTGAGGAGATTTTGTCTCCATTGACTGTCCTTGGTACACACACACACACACACACACACAAAATCATTTGAGGTCCAGCAAGATGGCTCAGTGGAAGATAGACACTTGTTTATGCCTGACATCTATTCAACCTTGGAAACCCAGCTGGTTAAGCGAGAAAATGGACTCCTGCACGTTTTCCTCATGTCATAAGCTGTCACAGAAGTATTCAGCACAACACCTGCATGCACGTACACATACATGTACACATTCACAACAGGATTCTTTAGAATCATTTGGTACATCCATGGAGGTCTCTTTCAAAGCTCTCCCCAGAATTTTGTAGCACATTTGGAGTGTCCTTCTTTCTCCGCCATTAATAGTTGGGTTTTTAAGTGTGAGTGCCTGCCAAGTATGTCTAAGCACTGAGTATATGCCTAGGGCTCAGAGCCCAGAAAACGGTCATGGATACACAGGGGGTTGGGAGCTGCCAAGCACAGGAAACTCAGGTCCTCTGCAAGACTAGGCTGCACTGCTGAGCTGTCTCACTAATCTCCCCTCCCTTAGACCATTCTCACTAGCAGCCTCCCTTTCTCCTTGCTCAGTCTGAGTGCTGGCGTTACAAGCTTGCACCACATTCAGTTATTTCAACTTTATTCTTTTTTGAGAATGTTTTACAGAGGGCAGTAAGTTTTTGGTCAAATATTTCAATGTCTGAAAGAAAAAGTGCTGTCAAGATTTTGACAGGGAGCCGGGCGGTGGTGGCGCATGCCTTTAATCCCAGCACTTCGGAGGCAGAGGCAGGTGGATCTGTGAGTTCGAGACCAGCCTGGTCTACAGAGCTAGTTCCAGGACAGGCTCCAAAGCCACAGAGAAACCCTGTCTCGAAAAACCAAACCAAGATTAATTTGAATAGTACTGATATGCTAACAGGGTTACATCATCCATCGACATGAATGTTGGATTTGTTGACGGCCTCAAACAATCCTGATGTAAACTGGGACTACAGGCACATGCCACTCCACCCCCTCTGCTATCATTTAACATGTGTAATTCACATAGACAATTCATTTTTACACACTTAGCTCTTAAATTCCCAAAGATGGCCAGCACTCATCAGCATTCACTCCACATTTCTTACATGTCCCACAACCTGCATCCAAGGAAACTGTAAAGTACACTCTATCCATGGATATCCTGTATAAAGAGGCTCAAAACCTATAACCCATAATCTTTCGTGCTGTACCCCTCACAACGATTACTCTCGTTCTACTCTAGGTATACACCACATCTATCAGCTGCAGAGATTTGAGTTTTTGCTTTTAACATGTTATAATGAATATTTGTGCTCAAGTATTTTTGTCTTGGTTCACACATGTAGGAATGGGATTGCTGGGTCATGTGATTACCAAACTGTCTTCCAAACTGGGTGCTCTATTTTATATACCGGGGGCAGGGAGAGGGACTTTAATTCCTCCCCATCCTCAATGGTACTTCAGTATCTGTCTTCTGTAAATAGTAACTAATAGTCATGTTATTGGTATGAAGACATGGATTTTTGATTTAGGTTTTCACTCTCCTGATCCTACATCTTCTTTGGAAAAATGCTTAAATTCTGCCTCAGTTTTAGGTGGGTTGTTTGACTTGTCTTTACATAATCTAAACACAATTCCTTAGGAGATAGATACATATTTCTTTTTCTTAAATATTTATTTATTATGTATACAATATTCTGCCTGTGTGTATATCTGCAGGCCAGAAGAGGGCACCAGACCTCATTACAGATGGTTGTGAGCCACCATGTGGTTGTCAGGAATTGAACTCAGGACCTTTGAAAGAGCAGGCAATGCTCTTAACCTCTGAGCCATCTCTCCAGTCCCCTTTAGTACTTTTTGTACACCTCATTTGTGAACAATAGGCCTTTGTACTTAGAGTAGTTTTAGGAGCAGAGCAGAGCTGGGCAAAGTACAGTTACTGTCACACATCACTGCACTCATGCAAGCACGCCCTTCCCACTGTCAATGAGCAGTCCAGAAGGCAAACTGCTTCAAACTGACAAACTGACATCAACATCAAAGTTCACAGTTCGTTCATAAAGGAGCATATTCTACATGCTGACAAACTAATGATCAGCTAGCTACACTGCCCTGAGAGTCGTCTGCTGTCTTCTCGACCCTTCCCACGTCTCTGACAAGCTCTTTTTCTGTCTCCAGTTGGTTCTACAGAATGCCACAGCTGGAATCACATACATTGAGCAGCCTTTTCAGATTGGTTTCACTCAGAAACACGATCTTAATACTTACCTCTATATTTCCTCAACTTGATTGTTCAATTACATAAAGCAATAAATAAGAATTCATTGACTGAATGCACCATGGCTTACTTACTGACCTCCTTTGAGTTATCTTGATTATATCCAAGTTTAGGCAATATGGCTAAAGCTGCTAATATCCATGTACATGTATGGTTATAAACTCCAATTTGTGTGGTAAATTTGCTTGCTTTAATTTTGTAAAAGTTATTACAATTTCTAAGAAACAGTTGAAATAAGGTGACCATGCTTGTTATTTTGCACCCCCACAAGCTACCCACTTCCCGTCATTGCATTTGGTATGCTCCCTGGATTGGTGTTTGATGATCTTAATGGGGTGTTACAGCACCCTGTGTTCTGACTGTAACTCCCCAAGTGGAACATCTTTTCATAGTCTCCCTTGCTACCTTTTTTTCTTTGGCTTTTGGGGCAGTTTTGTCTCGCACACAGAATCTCATACAGTCCCAGGTAAGTGTCAAATCTGTTACATAGTAGAGGGTGACCTTAAGCTCTTGATCCTCTTACCTCTCCTTCCAAGTGCTGGCACTTCAGGAGTATGCGGCTGTGCCCAGCATTTTTGACTACCCTTAAACCAGTTTGATTTCTTATTTTAAATGGCCTTTGTACATATTTTTGGTCAGGGTGCTTTGTCGACCTTTTTTTTTTTTTTTTTGACAACTATTTCCTCCTAGTCTGGTTGTTTTTCCTATCTCTTAGCAGTTCCTTTCATACTGCATATGCTTTTAAGCTTAATGAAGTCTAGTGTTCAGACATTATTTCCCTAGATAAAACTTTGCTATCATACAAAAAACATACAATCCCAAGGACATTCAGATTTTCTCATATAATCTGAGTTTCCATAAGTTTTACTTTACATTTATGTATAAAACCCACTAAGTTAATTTCCATCAAGAATGTGAGTTTGCATGTAGACTATTCTGAATGCTAATCTCAAATTCTTTATTGCATTTCCTTCTCAGCTTTGTGAAGAGTGTCAGCGTCCATTCACAGCACAACAAAACAATGCCAACAGAAAACGTGTTTCATGCCTTTTGCACTAACATTTACTCTTCTAATCCTAGTAATCATTTTGTTTTGTTTGTTTTCTTGAGATATGGTCTCATTTGATTAAGATGGCCTCAAATTTACTGTGGATAGCTGAAGATCACCTGGAACTCCTAATTCTCTATCTTCCACCCACCAAGTGCTGGAATTAGAAGGCACAAGACCCAGCCTAGATCATTTTTTTTTTAATTCTGATAAAGGGGAAGACCTAAACGACTTTATTATTTGGCACAGATATCCAAATTTCCTTCCACTACAAACAAATATTCTTCCCCCATTAAATGTAAATTGATTGATAGACATTTAAGAATTTTTGACACATTCAAACACACATATACCTAAACTTTATGCTAGTACTACTGTTTTGGTAATTATAGTTTTATTAAGAACAAAGCTAAACACTTTACAATATTTTCTTTCTTTCATTCTTTGTCTGGCTGTGCTAAGAACACAATACAGAGATTGCTAGAGTTCAAGTTAAGCCTTCTGCCAGTGAGTAGCATCCACAGCCTAACTTTGTTCTCTGTAAAGTTTGTTCTGACGATCCCAAATTATTTAAAATTTCACATGAATTTCAGATCACTTTGTTAACTGTTGCATGAACACACACGCACACACACACACACAAACACACAAAGCCATCTGGATGCTGGTGGAGATTGTGCTGATCTGATGATGTACACTTATCCTGTTCATCTCGCTTGTCTCCTCAATGTCTCACATGTAAATGACTTGTTGTACTTTCATAAACTCTTGACAACCTGCTTACATCAGCTACTTAAATATTTGTACTAAGCAAACCACCCCAGCAGCCTTTTTTATTTTTCTTTCTCTCTCTTTCCTTTCTTATTTTCTTCCTTTCTTCCTTTCTTCCTTTCTTCCTTCCTTCCTTTCTTTCCTTCTTTCTTTCTTTCTTTCTTTCTTTCTTTCTTTCTTTCTTTCTTTCTTTCTTTCTTTCTTTCTAGTTTGGAGTTTGCAAGTTTTTTTTTAAGGGGCTGGAGAGATGGGTCAGAGGTTAAGAGCATTACTGCTCTTCCTGAGGTCCTGAGTTCAATTCCTAGCAACCACATGGTGGTTCACAACCATCTATAAAGAGATCTGGTACCCTCTTGCACCTGCTTTTCATGTTGCTTCAGATTCCCAATCTCCCATGTTCAGTCTTCATGTTTTCTACTGAATCTAATATACTGCTAATCCCATCAATTGATTTTAATGCTTATTATTTGTATTTTTTAATTTCAAAGAGATCTGCCTGCCTCTGCTTCCCAAATGCTAGGATTGTGTGCCACCACACTCTGCTCTTGAGTAAGTATAGAAAAACACAGGCAATCCACATTTGCTTAGTAATTCCATCACCAATTACTTTAAGGGATGGTCCTCCTGTGCTCATTCTCACATGTGGCAATTATTAACTTTGTGCTACTCTTTCCTTATAAAACAACTTTAAGTAAATACCTTGTGTTCCAGAAATAAAGCTGATTCAAAGTGATCTAAATTTGCTTATAGTGGGCACCTGTGAAATTGACAGGTTCTCATTAACTTTTTAAAGCATATTTAATAATTGATATTTATGTGTTTGTGTGTGTACATGTGTATGCACATGCATGAGGAAGCTCTCCACCTATTTTTTTCTAACTTTTATTTACTTTTATTCTATGTATATGAGTTTTTTGACTGATTATATAAATGCTCACCATGTGTGCAGAAGACAGTTTTGGGAACTGAACCGAGGTTCTTTGGAAGATCAGCTAGTACATCTAACTGCTTACTCCCAATCACTTCAGTCATTGAAACAATATACTTGGGCTACAGGAATGTGACTCTAGTGTAATTTATTTTCCTTCCCTATTCTGCTTAAAACAATCAAAAAAATGTTCTATTCCCTAAGGGAAAAGAAGAAAAGGCAAAGTTCTTCACTGAGAATGTATTTAATGTTTGTTTTCGTTTTTGAATTTAGGGAAGAGCATAAATACAGTCTCCCACAGCCAAACTTACACAGTGGAGCTCAGCCACAATCTTCAGGAAAACAAGCTCCTGCATTTCATTCAGGTGCCTTATAGATCTTTGGAGATTTTAAGATGTCTCGTCTCATCATCTATCACATGGCTACTTCACTGGTTTTATAAAGATATATGCACCTGCCCCTATCACACCCGTTCAACACAGCTTCTGGAACCACCAATACTTCTTTATTAACACATCCTGGCATACTCTGCATACCTACAGAATCAACCGTCCAGTTTCTGACACACCTGATTCTTCTCTCTTATCCATCAAGGCTCAGATGTAATTCATATTTCCTGTGCTACCAGTTTAACTAAGATTATCATTCTCCATCTCCTAGACGGAAAACCTGTTAATAGCCTCCCGCCATTTTCGTCCCCATATAACCTATTTCCTGTGCTATGGAGAACAGTGATTTTTTAAAAAAATAAAAATAGGATTACGTCATAGTGTATCTGTAAACCTGCACTTGAGCTTTTGATAATTCCACACTATTTAACGTGGTCTACAAATTCTAATCTAATCTGACTCTGCCTTCACAACCTTAATTACCATTTTATACAGCTATGGGCAAACTGGTTTCTCAATTTTCACAGCTGCCCTTTTTCAGATCACTCACACTTCAGTGACTCCTCTTCCTGAAATAATTTTTCCTGCTTTTTGCTCATTTCATTCTTATATATCTGATTTCACTCTAACTTGACTCTTTCCAGAGGCCCATTCTATCTAATCCAATACCAACCTGTTTATTCTTTTAGATACAGGACAATGATTTCGTCATGGAATTAGCCTCAAACACGCTAATCATTTATCACTGAGCTATATCCAAGTTCAGGCTACCCTTGAACTTATACTGCTCCTATTGGTTTCTTTGTGGTTGATTATACAGGCCTGCCTCCCAGCCCAGCAATTAGTAGAATATATTTATGATTCTGTTACAAAAATGATTCCATACAGACATCACTTCTAAAAACAAGCATCAGAAACAAATAAGGGTGCTCCCTGCCAGGCCTGAGGACCTGAGTTCCATTTCTAGGACCTACACGGAAGGAGAAAATCAACTCCTTCAAGTTGTCCTCAGACCTCCACACTTGCAATGAGACATGAGTGAATTTGCCCACCTTTGCATGCATGTGTATACACACACAAATGAATTTTTATGAATAAAACCCTACTATCTAAACCTCATAAAAACATACATACAAGATGGGCAGTGGTGGTGCATGCCTCTCATTCTATCACTCCAAGGCAGAGGCAGGTGGATCTCTGTGAGTTCAAGGCCAGCCAGGTCTATAGAGCTCGTTCCAGGCCAGAGCTGTTGCAGAAAAACCCTGACCAAAAAAAAAAAAAAAAAAAAAAAAAACCACAAAAACCAAAAACACCCCCCCCCAAAAAAAACCCAAAACGAATGAAAACAAAAATCATACTTCCTTTCCCACAGTAGCAAGACTGGCAGAAAACTGTATAAGCTTTAAAACATTTGACATGACCTACCTGAGGCGGTTTCTCTGAAAAGGCAGTGGCCATAAGCAGTAATGGTGATTCCAAGGAGATCGTGTCTCTTATTCACAAGCCCAGGATAGGCAGTCCCTCTGTTCAAACACTAGCTGGCAGCTTTTCTTTACGGCTGCCTGATTTCCCTCCTATTTGATGTCACCTTCCCTCATTGTTTCAACACTCACTCTCATGTTTACCTTTGGAAGCCTCTCTGAAAAGTTTAACAGCAGAAAAAGACCTGCTCACACTCCTACAAGTTAAAGAGATCTGGAGCCCAGACAGCTATTTTGGCTCTCTCTTCTATCTTAGCTTAACATTTAGGCAAGAGAATGGAATGAACATATCAAGTAGGCCTGTCTATAGCAACTTTTTTATTCCTTCATGAAAAATTACATTTTTTAGTCAGAAAATTCTATTTTTTTTTTTGCTTTTTTTTGTCCCCTCCCTTCGCCCCCACCCCCCCTTCAGAAAATTCTATTTTTTGATGCTGACAGTATTCATATATCACTTAAAATTACTCCTCTGGTTGTGACTATTTCCAAGAATTTTAAATTGTGTATAATTTTATACAACAAATCTTATGACATAAGTAAGTTTAAGAAAACATGTAATACCATGCAATCAAAGCAAACTATCAGCAGAAAGATGCTCACCAGAAATCGTTACCTTTATGGCTGTGCATGCATTTTCACTTTCCGTCCACAGGTCCTGTTCATAGTAATATAAGCCATCGTTAATCACTTCAGCAAGTTCTGATGTAATGTTTGCTTGTGATGTAAGGGTGCCTGTTCGATCGCCTCCATGGTGCTTTCTCATATAATGTGGTGTCTGAGTCACAATCAAAATCTTGTTTAAATCTTGGTCATCAATTTCAAAATCTGAGTCACCATCAGACCAATCATTGACTGTCATTTTCCTTCTTTCTGTATGTTCCATCTCTTCATCAAACAAAAAGTCACGTTCTTCTTGTTCTGGGTCTGGAAAGGTTAGTTGACTTGATGTCTCTTCAAGTATAGATATTGATTCCTAAAGAAACAAGGTAGCTTGATATATATATAAATATATCAGATATGCATGTATATCAGATATATATGTATGCACACATGTACTTTGTAAAAACCCTTTTTCTTTTAGGACAAATGTTGTATACAAGTAGGCAAATTCTAATAGAAAGCTAAGCAGTATTGTTTTGGATTAACTGGAGAAAACACAAGGTTGAGTAAAAGAATTGATGCAGACTCCCTGGAGTGGTCCCTAGATCATCTACAACATAGCAGTCTTGAAGGACACAACTTCAATTTTTATAAAACCTTGGGGGAAAAAATCCATGTATGATAAACAGAAAACTCATTATACTCAACCAAGGCACACATTTCATTGGAGTTTGTAAACTTACCTTTAATGTGACTGGGGATGGAGGATGCCTCTCTTTCACGTCTACCCAGGGTTCTGAGTCCAGGTCAGGCAGGCTGGCAGACAAACCTCTCAACATCACTCGGAGAGTACTTGTTTCAGTATTGTTCTTTGGGCTCAGTGGACTTCTAATTCTTGGAGAGTTTGTGGCAGACTCTAAAATTTTAAATCAGTTCTGCAATTAAAATACTGGTTCCTCTTTCCTATAAACTCAATTTCATTTTGCCTTAATTTGGATTTTCCTGCACAAAACATAATAACCAATTTCAAAATCTTCCCATGATTTTCAAATATAAAAGGCTTGCAAGATCTACTCCAAATATTCAAAAGGAAAATCATCAAATGAAAGAATGTTACCAACACTTACACAGAACATCGCATTTGTTATAGCTTCAAGAGCACCAGTGAATCGCCAATTAAAAGCCTGCACATTGAACTACAGAATGTCAGCTGCTAGTAAAGCCACAGGTAGTCTAAATACACATATTTCCTGACAGTAGCCAGTACTCCTATACCCACATTGCCTGCATTAAAGACAGTGTGTCCATTTACTTCATGCCTCATGTTAAACACTGCAACACACATGCCACCACAGTAACGCACACAAATCCACAATAACATTTCAAAGATTCAGAATTTAAAAGACCTTTTTGGGGGGTTGAAAAATGATTCAATTGATAAGAGTTGCTCTTTTTAGGTCTCAGTATCTACATGACACCTCACAACAAACTGTAACTCCAGTTTTAGGGTTAGGATGACTGACTCCCTCTTCTGACCTCCACAAGCACCAGATATACACATGGCATACATGTATGCATACATGCAAGCAAATAAAAACAGTAAAATCTTTCTTTACCTTCCTTTTCTATTAATTTTAATCAAAATAAACTCTATTAAATCTAAATTGTTTTTCAAAGGTTTAAAAATCACTTAAGTGCCTTTTTTTTTTTCCAAGACATAATTTTCACTTGGAGCCTGACTTAGAACTTGCACTCTATAGACCAGGCTGGGCTCAAAGTCAGAGATCCCCTGTCTTTGCCTCCCAAGTGCTGGGATTAAAGGCACGCACTACCACAGCTATTTAAATTACAATTTCATTCCTAGGTCAGAAGAAAACCTGGAATATCTTAATAGAAGGAGCCATTATGGGATTAAGGATACGCCTTCTCCCCAATTAAGACTCCTAGCAATAGTGGAGAGGGTGCCTAAACTGCCCTTCCCCTGTAATCAGCTAGGCAAATACCCTAACTGTCGTAGAACCTACATCCAGTAACTGATGGAAGCAGATACTGAGCTCCTGGCTTCAGATGAAGACAGGGAGGAGGCGTCATATGAGTAAAGATCATGATGGGCAAAGTCAGAGAAGGCTGGCCTCAACAGGTAGCTCACGGACTCTCAACTGACTGCTGGGGAAACGGCAAGGCTCAAAATTAGGTCTTCTGAATGTGACAGTTATGTGCCTTGATCTGTTGGGGGAGAGATGCTTGGCAATGGACCCAGGACTTATTTATCCCAGGTGCCTGAACTGGCTTCTTGGAGCCCATTAACTATGGCGGGATACCTTGCTCAGCCTTGACATGGGGAGGAGGTGCTTAGTCCTAACTCAATTTGGTATTCCAGACTTTGTGACTCCCCAAGGGAGGCCTTACTCCCTCTGAGGAGTGGATAGGGGTGGCGGGGGGGGGGGGGTAGATGGAGGGACAAGAGAAGGGGAGGAAGGGGAACTGGGGCTAGTTTGTAAAATTAAAATAATTTTAAATAAAAAGATTTAAAAAAAACTTTAAGGGTGAATGTTATATGAAAGCTGAAACAGAGCCTTTTACTTACTAAAAGCACAAAGCAGGAATATGTGTGATGAGGGTTGCAGCATTTATTTCCATAAGCATGCTAGAGTTGGATTTGGTATCCTCCCCCTATGATACATGGATGCAGTAATCATCAGATCGCTGTTATTTTTAAAGAAGCAATTTGATTTAGAATAGAAAAGTCTCCAGAATATCCCAAGCAATGCAAGCACACAGATAAAGGGAGGTCTTTGCATTTGATACCCAAAACCACAAAAAAAGTTTGTTCAGGGCTGGAGAGGTGGCTCAGTGGTTAAGAGCACTGGCTGCTCTTCCAGAGGTCCTGAGTTCAATTCCCAGCAACCACATGGTGGCTCACAACCATCTGTAATGAGATCTGGTGCCTTCTTCTGGTGTGCGGGCAGAATGTTGTATACATAATAAATAAAACCTTTAAAAAAAGTTTATTCAATATAATACACTCTAGTTATAAGGAGCCAAGAACTGGAAATGGGGCTAATATGCTAAATGAGCAAAGATTTATATTAGCCATGTTAATAATAATGTCACTATATTAAATAAAAATATCTATGACAATATTACTGAAATTAAGTTAAACTGCAAAATTGGTGTTTTTGTTCTGTTTCATTTATAGACAGTCTCACTGTGTAGCCCTGCTGGCCTAGAACTTACTAAGTAGACCTGGAACTCACAGTCATTGGCCTCCCTCTGCTTGTCTTAGGACTGTAAAGGTGTATATCAACAACCTGACAAATAATTTCAAGGCTACTAAAAACTTTGAATTTATATGTAGGGTTCATATATCCTTCCTGGGACATTGTTGCTCTATAACATTCTCCATAAACAGCTCATTTATCACCAATTTACCGATAAAACCAGTACAAAGGAAACAAAGAGGTTATACTCTTTCACACTGATAAGAGTATAGGAGAACTGTTATTCTAATACTAGGAAATATTTAGACAATGACCGAAGTTTTAAAAGAACACAAAGAACCACTATCTTGTTAACCACGGGGATGATTTAGTTCCTTATATAACTATCACTGAACTGCATATATAGCTAAGGTGTAAATGTCAGAACAGTACTGGAGCCATAGTACACATAGCAGGAAAATCAAAATTGTGGACTTTTTTTTTTTTTTTTGGTTTTTCGAGACAGGGTTTCTCTGTGGCTTTGGAGCCTGTCCTGGAACTAGCTCTGTAGACCAGGCTGGTCTCGAACTCACAGAGATCCGCCTGCCTCTGCCTCCATAGTGCTGGGATTAAAGGCGTGTGCCACCACCACCCGACTTCAAAATTGTGGACTTTTAATGTTTATTTTTATTTGGGTATGGGTACCACCTGTGTGTGGGTACCTGACAAGACCAGAAGACAGTGCTGGATACCCTGGAGCTAGAATAGTAAGAAGCAGTGAGCTGTACTTACTCCAGCTCCAGTAGTTTAAAACTTGTGTATTAAACTTGTGTATTAAAACACAAGGTTAGTCTTCTTATACTCACCTCAGGGTTTATTATACAATCACATCTTCATGTCTCCTAGGCTTGTATTATGAGTGTACCATGGAGTGTTCTAGCATAGAAAACACTATGTACTGAGAAATGCAATGATAGTAAAATATTTGCCAAAGGAAAAGTTAGTACTATTAGAATGAAAGCTTCAAGGTGTTCACTTTATGCTTAAATTTACACTGAAGCCCTCTCATGTTTTCTGGAACCTTAATTTTTTTATAATTAAAATATTTCAGAGTACCTATTTTTAAAAAGCTAAAATCAAAATTTTGAGTAAGCTTTGGAGTTTCTGACATTACTTCACATAGATAAAAGTGGTTTAGACACATACCTTGGCTACAATTGGTGAATTTACCTTTGCTGATTTTTGTATTAAATGAAAAATATCAGCCTGGCTCTCCAAAGACAAACGTATGTATCTAGTGTGTTTTTTTTTCCTGCTGTGGGACGACTGCAGTTCTGAGTAATGAGGAACTAAGAACCTCGACAAAAGTTTTCAGGAAAAGCCCTCCAGCCTATTCAGTAGCCATTAGGCCCTCAAAGGTCACAAGCTGACCGTACACCGCACCCACAGCAAACCCTGCATTCCAGAAGTCATCTTACCAGTCTCATAATCAACATTTTGTGGTGATTAAGATCTTCTGCTCAGTGGCAATGCCAACCCATGTTACACAATTCAACCTCCAAAGAGGAAAAAGTAGATATTTAAATTTCTGTGATGAAAAGGATCAATTATGTTAATATTTTACCATACAAATGGCACAGAATATAATCAAGTTATCAAGATACCATAATTTGGAATTAAGGGGCATTAGATAAAAGCTTCACTCGACCTTTACTCCACCTAGTTACATAAGGTGATCTATACACCCTACCTTATTTCTTCTCCTGTACATAGTGACAGACTACTTCTTCAAGCAGCCTACAAGTAGACTAACGAGGTCATAACGTGACAATTCAGAGGAAATGGTGATGGACAGAATTGCTCCTATGAGCTAATGTGGGTCAGCATGTTTCTATCAACATCCCAAATTCCCTTATTTACTATCTATCAGCTCTTTGTATAATCTAAGGAATCTGATATTAATGTGACATCTATATTGACTTGTTTGTATGAATATGAAAACATGTCAAAAAGTAAAATGTACCAAACATTTTTTATTCTTGCAATTTTATTAATAATACACAAATGGTTAATGGAAAGGTAACTTGACTGACCCACCTTAGCTATCTTGTGGAAAAAATACTTTGTATAATGCCAACATTCCCAATAATTGTTCATAAGGTAGTTAAAATATCATCTTAAATCCCAAGATTACAGCTATCTTGTGGAAGAAGTAGTTTCTATATTATACAACTTCCCAACTAATTGTTCATAGGCTGGTTAAAAAGGACCCCAAGTTTACACAACAAATCTTTCTTTTTTTTTTTTTTAAATTTATTTATTATGTACACAATATTCTGTTGGTGTGTGTGCCTGCAGGCCAGAAGAGGGCACCAGACCTCATTACAGATGGTTGTGAGCCACCATGTGGTTGCCGGGAATTGAACTCAGGACCTTTGGAAGAGCAGGCAGTGCTCTTAACCGCTGAGCCATCTCTCCAGCCCAACAAATCTTTCATAGTTATTTGTTAATCATTAAGTATAGAGATCTAAATTTCACTTTTCTTTAAAAACATACCCTAGTAATTGTAGAGAGAAAAAATTATGAGTATAAAAGATCTGAACAGAGATATAACTTTGGGGCACAAAACATCTGAAACTTTCAGATTGTACAGAAACTAGTTCTTTGTAACAATGAGTAATAAATTCTATGCACTGTGTGCAATTAAAATTAAAATACCTTTATAATAGAATTAAGTCATATGGTGTTTTAAAGGAAAAAAGGGATTATTTTGATTTGACCATTACTCTTCACTGATAGGCAGTGTATTAGCTACCTTTTTATCACTGCAACAAAACATCTGACAAGCAACTTCAGGGAAGAAGGATTTATTTTGGCTCACAGTTTGAGGGGTTGAGTCCATGATGGCAAGGAAGACATGGTGATTGATGGGAACATGAGGTGGCTGGTCACACTGCGTCTACAGTCAGGAAGCACAGAGAGATGAATGCTGGTACTCAGGCTAAGCATCCAGCCCATGTTTAGGATGGCTCTTCCCTCTTCAGATAAACCTCTCTGGAAATGCCCTCACAGACATATCCAGTCAGGCTGTCAATGAAGGTTAATCACCACAAGTACATTCCTTTGTCACCTTGAATCTCAAACAAACCACTTTTAAACCATTACATTTAATCTCCGATCCCCATATGCTCATAAAGCAAAATGAATTCAGTCTCACTTCAAAAGTCTCAACAGTCTTTAGCTGTCCCAACAGTGTTCAAAAGTCCAACGTCTCTTCTGAGATGCAAGGCAAACTCTTAATTGTGAGTCTCTATAATTTCAGAAAACAAGTTACATAGTTCCAATGTACAATGGCACAGAGTAAACACCCCCATTCCGTTGTAAAGGAATGGCGTATAGCAAAGGAAGACTGGACCAAAGCAAGACCCAAGTCTAGCAGGCAAACACTAAACGTTATAGCTCCATGCCCATCATCTGGGGCCTGTGATACTATCATCTGGGTTCCAGTGACCACGGGCAGCTCCACTCCTGCAACTTCGTCGCTTGAAGCATAAACAGCCTCTCTCATGGGATGACTCTACTCCTCTAGTTTTCCTTGGCAGATGTTCCACAATTCTGGAGTTTCCAATAGCTAGGAAGTCTGCTTTGTAACTTAACCCTCACAGCTTCAAACAATGGTGTCTCAGAATCTCTTTAGCCACACAGTGGGCTTCCGGTGTAAATCTCCATGACCCTGTGTCTTACATTTTAAATGCATACTAAACTAGCATGGAGTGGATAAAGCATTCAAGTGCTACTGGCAGATTGGAGAGTTATCTGCACCCCTCCTAACACCGCTGTAAGTGGCCTTTGTACAACTTTGTTACCAAACCAGGTGAACATTTCATTTCGGAGTTTACATAGCAAGGAACCCCATCGGCTCTTCTTTCAAATCAATGTCCATTTCCACAACTTAGAAACTTCCAAGTTTTACCCACACTGGTGCAGTCTTAGTGTACACCCTGCTTGATGGCAACTTCAGATGACACACCCCCTACCTATTTCCCCAACTGCACATTTCCCAAACTTTCTGCTTTCTCCTGTTATAGATCTCAAAAGGGCAGTGATGCTATCTTAAAACTGCCTTTGCCAAACAAATTGCAAATCACTCTATGACATTTTCAGGAATGGACATTCTTCATCAGAAGAAAACACAAATAGCCTTTGGCTCAGCTTCCCCCAAAGTCCTTGCCCCTCGCTGAAAACTCCTTAGCACAATGTTTACTTTCCACCTTTTCATTGATACACTGGTCTCCCACAAGCCCAGAATGGCCCACTAAGCTCTACTTACAGTGTTCTAAGGGTACTCTTCCCTTCTAAAAGCCAGTTTCAAATGCCTACAAACCACACGGTCAGGATTTTCAAGTGACAGTTCTACTCCTCAGTACCAACCTTCTTTATTAGTGACTTTTCTCATTGCTGTGACCAAATTCCTGACTTATGATGAGATGCATAGGCAGGCAGTGCTTTCATGTATGTATGTCAATGTATGAAATACAGTTTTGAGACCAGCCACATGGCTCAGAAAGTAAGGGCACTTGCTGTGCAAATCTGACCACCTGAATTTAATGCCTGAATCCCACAGTGGAAATAAAGAACTCTCAAATGTTGTCCTCTTACCTCCACACACACACACACACACACACACACACACACACACACACCATGGCACACATGTGCCCACACTCATATCATATACACACATATCATGTATACACAATAGTAATAAATAAAACAATAAGAAAAGCCCTTAAATAACAATCTTAAAGCATAAAATGCCCTCATTTATTTAACTTAAATTTTTTACCCCTTAAGTATTCACATTAATACATCTTATAGTACATGTGAAATAGGACAACATGTGAGTTATGCAAAGTATACTATATTAAAGAGCAAGTCAAATAGCAAAGGACCTAACAATTTTGGAAATGCTACTCAATCCTCTCTTTTTCTGCTTTATTGATCTGGGCAAAGTAATAAATGCCTGGAAACAAAAGATAGAATTTGCAGTATTTCCCCAATGATAACAATGAACTTTCCCACCATGAATGAAGTAGCCCGTGCAGCCTAAGCTAATGACATAGAAAGGAGAAGCTCCTACAGTAACGACAGCAGTCCTCTGGTCTGTCATCATTATCGTAAAGGTGGTTATCTCCACTGCAGGTTGGCCCAACCTTCTCCACAAGGGGGTGGGCGTGGACGTTCTTGCACAGAAGACAGTATGGTCACTCTCGCTTCTGCAGCACGATTTGCTCTCATATTTACATGGTATTTCAGGGAGTCACCTACTCCACTGTACATTCCGATCATATGACATCCAAGAGCATCAGTAGATCATCACCCTGACTGAAAAAAGGTTAAGCACACATATTTTTCCCAAGAGCAATTATCTTAAAATGAACTATTTAAAAAAAAAAAAAAAAAAAAAAAAAAAAAAAAAAAAAAAAAAAATAAAATAAAGAAATAAAAAAAAAAGGACTTAACACAAATGTAGTTTTTGGAAACTCAAAAGAACCAGGTTAAAGAAAAATCCCAATTCTATTTTAGAATATGGGTTATTTTCTATTTTCAAGACAAGATTAAAGTACATTACTGACAAAAGTAAAGGAAGGCTAGCCCACTCTTGATCACAAATTTTGGCTCTTTTGGTTTTACATGGGGAAAAGTGGCACTATACATAATCATTTAGTAGAATTAAAAGAAGATAGAAAGAAAGCCCAAAAGATAACACAGACAAAAGCTATGATCAAGAAATATCAATAGAACTTTACCTATGTTCTGAATAATTACAGTCTAGCTGGGAGATAACATAAGTAGAATTGGGAGGACCAGCAGTCATTTGCTTAGCTTTAGTTTCCCCATGAAAGCTCAATAAACTACAAATAGATAGGCAAACTCAAGCAGCCCACTGTTACACTGTTTGCACTAGAAGAAAAGCAGTTACCTGTATGGGAGCCAAAGGCCTGCCCTGGTATGAACTCCGGACAATCAATCAACTGAGAAAAGTCTGTTTGTGGCACATTTCGTGGAGGAGGGCCTGGGATTGGCCATTTTTCTGGTTCTATCTTTTTCCTCATTTTCTCATCCACAATTTCTACTTCTGTGCTATCCTTCAGTGCCTGAAATAGACAATTTAGGCTGTTAAAGTGGCATTCAGAAGGTTTTAGTTATATGCCTTATACTTCTAAACTGAAAATTAAAAAGCTTCAAGTTAGTTGACTGTAATACAGTTAATGACTTTAAAAATAACCATGAATTGTGACAGGAATAGAATAAATTTTTTAGGGATATTGGCCTAAAACTATAATCCCGGTGGTCAGGTGGCAGAAGCAAGGATTGTGCCAAGTTTGAGGCCTTTTGGTCTACACAGCAAGCTCTGGGCCAGACCCAGTTTCAAAAACCAAAACCAAGGCTGGGCGGTGGTAGAGCACACCAGCACTCAGGAGGCAGAGATAGGCAGATCCCTGTGAATTTGAGGCCAGCCTGATCGACAGAGTGAGTTCCAGGACAGGCTCCAAAGCTACACAGAGAAACCCTGAGGCAACAAAACCAAAAATAAAGAAAGCTGGGCAGTGGTGGCACACGCCTTTAATTCCAGCACTTGGGAGGCAGAGACAGGAGAGTCTCTGTTGAGTTCAAGGCCAGCATGGTTCCAGGACAGGCTCCAAAGCTACAGAAAAACCCTGTCTTGAAAAAACAAACAAACAAGAAAGAAAGTAAGTAAATAAATAAATAAAAATAAAACTCAGGAAGTGGGGATAGGGGCTAAACAGTGGTAGATGAAGTTCTCCTAGTCATTCTAGGCTAGGTAGTGTGCTTGAGGCTAGGCTGGGCTATATGAAACCCTGTGCTGCCCAAATGCAGCTGTCAAAAAAAGTAAGCGAACAAAGGAGGCTTAAGATGTAGCTCACTTGATAGAGCACTTCCTAAAACGACAGATGCCACCATGTCTGGTGACTCATGCTTATAATTCCAGCACTCAGGAGGTAAGGGCAAGAGGATGAGGCGTTGAAAGAGTGTTCAAAGTTACATATTCTGATATGAGCTCAAGACAAGACCCCACCTAAAGAGGAATATACAAAAAAGAAATCTCACAGACTGTCAAGAAAATAGGTGACAAGTCCTGGAGAGATGGCTAGGGGGTTAAAAGTACTGGCTGCTCTTCCATAGGAATTGGGCTGGATTCCTAGCACCCACATGGTAGCTCAAAACTGTCTGTAACTCCAGTTCCAGGAGATATAACACCTTCACATCAATGTACATAAAATAAAATTTAAATAAAACATAAAAGAAAACAAGTGATTGATTACTGGTCAAAGATGAGACAAAAACTGTTTGTTACTGATCCTATATAGAAAACAACCTGTGGTTTTCACACATAAGGTAGAAATCAAATTTAAATTATTCACAATTGATGCCTTCTTTAAAAAAAAAAAAAAGGTACAGAGTACATACACACCAAGGGCCAGGCAAGATGATTCATGCCCATAATCTCAGCACTAAGGAGGCTGAGTAGGAGGATTATTTATTACCTTATGTCAAAGAAACAAGCAAACAAACTAAGTATATGCAAACAGTTCAAGTAAAGATCTAAAACTGGCTGGGTGGTGGTGGTACATGCCTTTAATCCAGCACTTGGAAGGCAGACGCTTTGAGGCCAGCCTGGTCTATAAGAGCTAGTTCCAGGACGGGCTCCAAAGACAGAAATCCTGTCTCGGGAAAGGAAGGAAGGAAGGAAGGAAGGAAGGAAGGAAATCCTGTCTCGGGAAAAGAAAGAAAGAAAGAAAGAAAGAAAGAAAGAAAGAAAGAAAGAAAGAAAGAAAGAAAGAAAGAAAGAAAGAAACAAACAAACAAAGAAACAAACAAAGAAAGAAACAAAGAAAGAAACAAAGAAAGAAAGAAATCCAGAAATGATATTTTTATAAAACCCAAAAAGCATGACAAATTGACCTAAACAAGATCCCGTACACAATAATTTAGGATATCCAACATTCTCATTAGCTGATCAACTGGGTATTCTTCTTCATGATAGAGTTTAAGAAAAAAATTCATGGTGGTGCACACCTCAAGGAGGCAGAGGCAGGTAGATCTCTGTGAGTTCTAATACAGCTAGGACTACAGAGACCTTGTCTCAGAAGAAGAAAGGAGAAGAACGAAGAAAGAAGAGGAGGGGGAAGGAAGGAGGAAAGAGAAGGCAAGGCGGCACTGGGCTAATGAGGCATCTTAGCTGGTAAAGACACCTACCACCAAGACAGAGGACCTGAATTAAGTCCATAAAGCCCAAAGTACCAACTCCTAGAAATTGTCTTCTGACACACATATACACCACGGCTAACCTTCAACATTCATCTACATGCAAAATAGATGTCTGTTTGGCTTTTTAACAGAGTTAAAGTACTGGGGCTGGAGAGATGGTTCAGTGGTTAAGAGCACTGGCTGCTCCTCCAGAGGTCCCATGTTCAATTCCCAGCAACCATATGGTGGCTCACAACCATCTGTAGTGGGATCTGAAACCCTCTTTCGGGTTTTAGTTGTACATGCAGATAAAGCATTCATATGCATAAAATCAAACAAAAAAATTCTTTAGTACTGGGATATGTACCTATGAGAACCTGAGAAGAAAGGATTGAGTAGCTGCAAATTAAGTAGATACAGAAAACAGGGTTTAAGATTAAACAACATAAGGTTAAACAGCTGGTAAACTACAGATCCAGGCAGGATTAATTGTATCTAAGGCATATATCAATAGCAAGAAAGTTATGAGAGAAAAAACAAAATGAAAGTTGAGTGTAGGATTTCACATCTGTAATCCCAGTACTCAGGAGGCTTGACGCAGGACTTCTGTGAGTTTTTAAGGCCAGTCTGGGCTACGTTTTTAAGGGAAATAAACCTGATTCATCATGTTTACCTACGTAGACACAGACGATCATAAATCAAAACATGTTCACATAAAGATCATATTTTTTATTCATCATTTTCAAATTGTCAGAGGACAACTTGCATGAGTAGGTAGTGGCCCACTTCTCTTTTATCTTTTTTACTCCTGGCATGAACCTAGGACCTCGTGTACATTGGCCAAATGCTCCTACCATTCATCTCTTTAACACTATTTTTCAGGGCAGTTTTTGATTCCCAGGAAAAGGGAATATAATTTAGATTCTTTTTAAATGAATATTTACCTCCAAGATGAGATTAAGGTTTGTGGTGAGAGCTCGCACACGGTGAAAACCAGCAATCAGGGAAATAGGCAGGAATCCCTGCTCATCCATCTTTCTGCGAAGAAAGAAGTCCCGCTCCAAGTTCTCTGTGCTGAAGTAATACTCACTAAGAAAGGAGAGGACATGAGTTCATTCACTCATTTGGCAACATAGAGATATACCCACTGCTTACAACAACTGATACCCAAATTTTTTCCTATGCTTAATAATACCTACTATCTTACAGGTTAAGGCAAAATATACATATATAACACAACACAGCACAAATATGAGACCAAGCAAAAACCTGGTTAATTGACAGTTTCTCTTATACACAAGCATAAACAGAATATTAATTAAAATTTAACACTATCTAGAATAGCTTCACTTAAGTCTAACAAATTAAAAGCTAATTTTAAAATCCATTTGTTGATGTTGTTGTTTGGAATCCAGCCCTATACATGCTAGATAACAGGAAAATCTACAGTCCTGGATTTTTCAATTAGTCAATCACTGAAAGATTCCATTACAAAGACATCTCCATCTGCTTCATTTAAACACCAAATAACAAAAGATAAACACCAGTTTTACTGCCTCCCAATTTATTCCCAATCACTGGGGAAAACAGTGCACTTGAGAGTGTCTTTGGTTCATACGCAAACACAAGGAACTTGAGTTTGTCTTTTTAACCTAAACTGACAACACGATGACTTTTGGACCTTTTGCAACCAGCACACAGTTAAGTTAAAAAAAACCACAGTTACACTTATATATCCATAAATATGACTGCTCCTAGAAGCCCAGGATTTGGTCCTCAGCACTTTGAAAACAAAGGGAAGAATGAATATAAAATAGCTGAGAAAGAAATATCAAAGACTTCACTGAAGTCCATGGAGTAAAAATGCAGACAATGCTTAGATAACTCAGGGTTAGAAAAGTGTAGACCAACTAACCAATCCCTAGACAGAAAGTAAGCAGAAACTGTCAATATGACCGAAGACTATAAACCTCGATATAAAGATATGAGAACCAAAAGAAAATATATTTAATAAAGGAATTTGGAAATCATACATTTAATGTACAGCGGCCACATAATAAAATGAGAGTAAGATTCTAAAGACAAAGACCAGGATCCCAGACAGGAGAAAGTGAAACCCATGGTGACATAGCGTAGCTGGCAATCCTACAGCTTCTCAAGACCTGAGGAAGTTCAAGAGGCAGCAAGTTAAGAAAACACACACAATTTCACATTGTTTTAGTGTAAAACTCCATTATACCTTTGGATACTTAAGACAAATTCTAATCTGAGAGAACTAAGCACCTCTAAATAGCAACTAGTTTGGGGCTATTATTACACTTGTGGGAGACGAAAAGTTATCCTACCATTAAAACATAGGACATCTGAATTTGTCTTGTGTGATATTCAGTCAAAGTGCATCTCAGCAACATTAATAAATCATTTGCTCTAAATAATGAAAAAAACAGAGTTGTACATTCTGAGTTTTTTGTTTTTGTTTTTTGAGACAGGGTTTCTCCGTAGCTTTGGAGCCTGTCCTGGAACTAGCTCTTATAGACCAGGCTGGCCTCAAACTCACAGAGATTCACCTACCTCCTCCTGAGTGCTAGATTAAAGGTGTGTACCTTTAATTTAATTTAATAAAAATTCTGATTTTTATTGCACTTCAAATAACTAATCACAGTGCCTCGGAAGCTTGAAATGACTGAGATTACTAAACCTGGGACAGTATACCTGGCATTCATGCAGTCACAGGTTAAAATTGTACTAAGATGCAAATTCCTTAAATGAGTAATAAGCTTCCCTTTAAATGCAATCCACTGAAGACCAAACTACATAAGTAAATCTACAAATCATTATTAGCTATAGTCTATGCTAGATTACAAACATACAAATCTCTAGATCGGAATGACCAAAGATTCTGTCCTCCCGCCCCCCAAAAATTATCAGTGTTAAAATTTAACCCAGTATGATGACGAGATAGCACTTGGGAAGTTGAGGCAGGAGTTTGAAGCAAGCCTCGACTCCATTAATGTCTATAACAAAAAGAAAAATAAATTAATAAAAACTTTAATGTATTATTGATATAAAATTTCCATTTAGGTGATTGAGACTATCCATTAGGAATAGTGAAGTATGTTAATTTAAAATTTATTTCAGGCCAGGCGGTGGTGGTGCACGCCTTTAATCCCAGCACTTGGGAGGCAGAGGCAGGTGGATCTCTGTGAGTTCGAGGCCAGCCTGGTCTACAAGAGCTAGTTCCAGGTCAGGCACCAAAAAAACCCTGTCTCGGAAAAAAAAATTATTTCAGCTACCTATTTATTAAGCTTTGTTGGTTAGGGTGTGGTACTAATAAAACATACTTAACACCAAAGAACAATGAAAACTTAAAAAAACAAAAAGCGAACCCAAACTCAAACAGATCACTTCTCTAAGTACAAGACTAGAAACACAGTCCACAGCATGACTCCTCAAAGCCACAGCTCCACTGAGCAGACTAAGAACCAGCTTCCCTGAGACTGCACAGATGTTTGCCAAATCCCTGCCTGAAGTCCCTGAAACAAAAAGAGAAGTCAAGACTAACGTCTGACACTTTTTGCTCAGTGTCCTTGGGAGTCCTACCTTAGCAGCTCTGCATTCTACACTGTATGCCCAGAAACTCCTCCCTCACTCGCATGAGCACAGTGGAGGCCGATGTCCTGACATGGAGTTGCATGTTTGTTCACTGTCAGGTCTCAGAAGGGACCTAGCAGTAAGAGTTACAAAAAAGACAGGAATAATGGGATGAAGTTGACTGACACTTTCTGGCCATAAAAAGGCCCTTTTCCTGGCCAGTTTTGTGTCAGCCCTAACAAAGGAAGCAAGAAGCAAGTTGCTCTGCACCCAGAGTCCATCTCATCTACCACCATGGTTACCAAAGGTGCCTGGCTGGTGTCAATGAAGAAATTAATTTCTAGTTACAGAGGAGGATCCAGTTTCTTTTTTAAAACTGACTATTTTTTAGATGCTCATGCACTTTCAGAAATAGTCCTTTTCCTTTACCATTCCAGATTTTAAAAAAAAATAAGATTTTATCCAGTTTTGTTACACAAGTCATTTGGTTTTTCTTTTCTCGTTATAAAGATATCATCCAAAGACACAAAATGTATATTTGAAACAAGCAGAGGGCTGGACAAACAACTGTTATGGAGACGTCAGGTCTGAACTAAAACATTCATTTAATAGATGTCATAAAGAAATAACAACACAGGATAAAGAGCTTAAAAGATTAAAAAAAAAGACAATATAGAAATCAATTGCTATGAAAAACTAAGCCATTGGAAGTGCTTCTATTGTTATTTTTATATGAGACAGAGTTTTGTTCTGCATCTCATAGAAATTCTGCTTCAGCTCCCCAGTGCAGGAGTTACAGGCATGCACTACCACATCTAGCTCGTTTACAAATGCTAATATAAACATCTATTTGCAAATGAGATAAGTTTTAACTTCAAATAATATGTAGGCATATTTTTGTAATATTTACTCATTATGTAATGATATTTTAACTATTCTTAGGAAAATGACGAGAACATGGGAAAAAAATCTGTAGATACTTATTTTGTCACTGTTTTCTAGGAAACAAAAAACTCACTCTCTAACTTTTATTATTACACTTTTAGAACTGTGATAAAATAGTCAAAGATATAAGTTTGCTACAGAAACAGACATCACTGCCATCCTAGTGTACACAACTTACATCTGGCGCTTAATGTACTCTTTAAGCAGTGTCTCTTCCACAGGATATACCTGCACACCTGTGCCATCGTCGTAGTAATACATCATGCTGGTGTTAAGCTCTGTGGGAAATGGCTGATCAGTTCTTTCCCCTGGCTCTCGATAACCATAGGAATAATCAAAGTTCACTGGACACAAAGTAAAAGAAAGGTGATCACAAGTTAAAAAATAAGTAACTCATAAATGTAAAGAGAAATCCAAAATGAACAAGTTTAAACACAAAACCAAAATAATCAGTAGAAACATTATCCTGAGTACAGTTACTGGGTCCCATGTGGTAGAGAGGATCAACTCTGCATTTGTCCTGATTTTCACATGCACACCACGGTGCACTCACCTAAACACTCACACACAAAACACACACACACACACACACACACCTAGCATAATACAGGGTAATATGGAAAAATGAGAAAATTTGCTAACTTTTTTCAAAGAACATCTAATTTAACGGAAAAAAAAAAATCTCATATCATACATCTAGGGTTTCCTCGACCCCGGCCTCTTCCGCGGCCCCGGCCTCTTCCGCGGCCTCTTGCAGAACCTCGGATGGTGCCACCCTCACTTCTCACACTCGATACTTCATCTTGATCATCTCTCTTTTCTCTATCCCGTCTCCAACCTTAAAATTAGATAGTTTTTTAACATTTAAATTTGCAACATAGTAATTACCTTCCACCATCTTTTTCCTCTTTGGATTTTATAGTATTTTTTATTTATTCTTTGATAATTTCATGTGTTTACAATGTATTTTGATTGTAGTCATCCTCTACTTACCTCTTTGGGATTTTTTTTTTTTCCACACAAGGCCTCACTATGTAGCTGGGACTGGCATTGAATTCATAGATTTGCCTCCCAAGGAATGGGGATTAAAGCTGTTAACCACCAGGCCTGGCTTCCCATGGTGGGTTCTCAGATAGTGTCTGACTATTCATTCAGTCCAGGCTGGCCTTGAACTCTAAGATCTTCCTGCCTATGGCTTCTATGAAACAGAGATTATCAGGCAGGGTTTCTCTGTATCTCTGGAGCCTGTCCTGGAACTTGCTAAAAATGGTTGCACACACCTACAACCCCAGTTATTGGTATGGTGAGGTAGGGGAATTCTGAGTTAAGACCAATCTGGGCAACAATACCCAGTGAGATCTCATCTAAGATAGATATTTCTTTCTTAACCCAAAGTAGGCCTTATTTTACAGCACACCATAATAAACTCACAAAAAGTTTAATATTTAAACATTTTATAGAGTATTTGATGACAGCCATTGTTTGTGGTACACTTTGATTAAAGCATTTGGGAAACAGGCAGGTTGATCTCTGGTCTATATAGAGAGACCCTGGACCCGCAAAAAAGTAATCAAAGATTCTTAGTATTTTTAAGTTCAAATCCAATCATAAAAAAATTACAAAATCCAAACTAAAGAACAGCTGCTTAAAGTAATATTATTTTGCCAGAAATAGTGATGTATATCTTTATCCCAGGACTCAGAGAGGCAGAGGCAGGCCAATCTCTGAGTTCAAAGTAAACCTGGTCTACAAAGAATTCCAGGATAGCAATAATAATACTATTATCTTTTTAAAAAGATCAATGTCAGGAAAAACATGGCAAAAGAACTGTTAAAACAAGGATGGAGATTAAAGAGAAAGACAACTAAAGCAAAGTGTAATACCAAACCAAAAAGGGGGACACAGGACTACAAGCCCAGAGTGATGACATCTTTCTATCATCCTAGCATGTAGGAGGAGGCTGAGGCAGGAATATCACAAGTCTGAGGTCAGGCACATAAAAAGTGCCCAGCTAGTCCCATAGTGAGATCCTGTCTCAATATAAAATAAGATATAGAATTAAAATGAAACCAAAATTGGACAAAAAGTTATTGACAGTTACACTGCTAAAATTCAGCTTTGTTAAGTGCCATAATTACATTAAGGTATGCAGGGTTAGAGATGTGTCTGCAGTTTACTCTATACAGCTCCAATGATAAGCCCTAAAACTATGTTCATTCGAATATCATGGCACTCTTGAAACGACACTTACTTCGTATATCACTTTTCCTATTACTGTGAGCTGGCTTATTTGCTTCAGGTTGACATCTTGAGCTGTTCCGGGACCCAGGTCTTTCCTGGCTGTCTGGTCTCACATCATCTAAGTGTAGTGGTACCCATTTGTGCTTATTAGCTTGAAGAAACAAAACAAAATAATTTCATGACAATGTACAATTTTTATTAAAGCTCTGCAATTTTGAAAGCACTCTAAATTTTAATTAAAGATTCAGTTGTCTTTAAATGGATTATCTGTAGACTACCAAAACCTTTTTCATTCTTATAACTGATTGATTCTTGATAAGTTTGTATAGATACTTCAAGTAAAATAATAGCAAGTGAAAAGCCAGTAATTAAAAACAAATCAAACAAACAAATATGCGAGGGTCTCGGAAGGTAAGTTAGTAAAACACTTGCTGGCCAAGCACCAGGACCTGAGTTTTACCCCCAGCACCCACCTCAGATCAAGGCCTATGCCACTAACATTCAGGGATGGGGAGGTTGAGACAGGAAGATCTCCGGGGGTTGCTGGTCAGCAAGTTTCAGGTTCAGTAAGAAAACCCATCTCACACAAGACAGAGAGCACTGGCCTCCATACACATGTGCATCCACATCCACATATACACAAACACACAAAAACCATAAACAAAACCTTTGGTTTTAGAACACTGTCATAAGCAACCATTTGTTCAGTCTTACTGCTAAGTGGTTTCTCAAAGTTTGCAAGGAATAAGATGCTATTCTCTGACACTATATTTTTATAGTTATTATATTACAGCTATTACAGATACAATGAAGATGAGAGAATATGAGCAAAGTGGATCTGCATCTGAGAGGCTGAGGCAGGAGTAGGATTAAGTTCCAATCTATCCTGAGATACATGCCAAAAATCTAAAGAAAAACCAAAGTGGTTGTGATGTTAATTCCTTTTTTCTAGGACAGGGTCTCATTATGTAGTTCTGGCTGTCCTGGAACTCTCTCTGTAGACCCTGGTAACCATGAACTCAGGTCCACCTGCCTCTATCTAACTCCAAGTGCTGAGATTAAAGGCATGCGCCTCTACTGCATAGCACTGCTGTTAATTTCAATTGTCAACATGAAGGGATTTGGAATCACCAAGGGAGAGAGACTCTGGGCTTCTCTATAAGGGATTTTTTTTGATTCTGTTAATCAAGGTGTGCCTCAATTAACAGAGGCCAGCATGATTTTATGGGCTAGAGCATGGGAGGAAGCAGAGCAAAAGTTTCATGGCCTACTGCTTCATGACTGTGGTGAAATATAGACAGCTGCCTCAAGATCTTGTCTCCACCATGAAAGAAAATATCCTTTAATCATTTTCCTAAATAAATCATAGCATCAGGAAAATAGAAAGACCCTATCTGCATAAAAAGACAGAAGACGGGCATAGGTAGAAAGAGGAGAGGGCAGGAAAGGAGAAAGAGAAAAGAGATACAATCAATTGGCTCCTGTTGGGACTGGCAATATAAAAACTGTTTTGGCTGCCAGGCATGGTGGTGTAATTCTTTATTCCCAGCATTTAGGATGCAAAGGTAGAGGGAATCTCAGAGTTTAAGTCCAGCCTGGGCTACATAATGAGTCCTATGATGACCAGTGTTAGATAGACCTACTCTCAAAAGAGAAAAAAATTGTTACACTATAGTAAATTTCTGAAAATCTTTTTTTTTTTTTTTTTACTGATTCCATCACTAAGGTATCAAAATGCTTAGCATTTGGCCCAATGTCTATTTTTCTACCAAATTAAAAAATATGTAGGACAAAGAAAAGATGACCAAAGTACTGATAGGAAAAAGAATATGATGTCCAAGAAGATAAAGGCACCTACCAAAAATTTGTTTACGAGATGCCTAACTACTGGCCATTTAGCTCAATTAAACCAATTGAGGCGCCTTGGCAAAGACGCATCTTCACAGTGTAAACAAATATGTGCGACTTCTCAGGACAGAGAGAGCTCTGGGAAGAAAGGTAGAATCTGGAAGACACGGAAGATAGGATAGGCAGTAAGCAACAAGAATGTAGACTAAAATAAAGAGCTAGTGAGACAAGCTAAGGCTGAGCTTTAATAATTAATAATTAGTCTCTATATCATTATTTGTGAGATGTCGGCACAAAGGAAAGTCTAATTACAGCCCGACTGAGTTTGAGCCTTAAAACTCACATAGGAGAAAACTGACTCCTGCTAGTTGCTTTCAACCTCTACATGCATGCTGTGGATGCACAGACTCAGGTATGTGATGATGGTGCATGCCTTTGATCCTTGTAGAGGCAGACGTAGGCAGACTTCTGAATTAGAGGCCAGTCTAATCTATGAATCAAGTTCTAGGATAGCCAGGGCTACACAGAGAAACCCTGTCTCCAAAAACAAACCTACCAAACAAAACCTTAAATAGTATAGAAAGTCTGCATCATGCTATGTACCTTCCCATCCTTGTCTACTTTGTCTTTTTGGTTTTTCAAGACAGGGTCTTGATGTATAACCTTGGTCAACTTAGTACTCACTAAATAACACAGGTTGGACTCAAACTTGCGTTTTGCTTCCTGTCTCTGGTTCCCAAGTTCTTTATGTATGCATGTATGCATGCACATGTGTCATAGCTGCATGTTGTACATGGAGATCAGAGAACAACTTTTGGAGTCATCCCCAGGGAAACCATTCATCCATCTCCTTTGAGACTAAGTTCTTCACTGACTTTCAGCTCATTAATTATGCTGGACTTGATGGCCGGTAATCCCTACAGAACCTCCTGACCCCAACTCATAAGTTCTGCCCTTGTGCCCCATTTTACACCTGGGTTCTGGAATCAAATTCATATCTTCATGGGTGGATGTCAAATACTTTCTGGCATGAGCTAACTTCTTTAAATAACCCTTCTTTAAAATAACAAAAAACAAACTAGGCACGGTGGTGTATGCCTTAAATCCCCTAACTAAAGAGGCGGTGACAGTAAGTTTCAGGCCAGTCAGAATTATGCAGAGACCGTGTATCAAAAATAAATAACTGAATAAAGTAAAAAACATACAAACAAATAACAACAAAACCCCAGCATGTGCTCGATTTTATGTGTTGGCTTTGAATTAAAAAAAAAAAAACTATTCCGGTTGGTTGGTGGTGACGCATGCCTTTAATCACAGCACTCAGAAGGCAGAGGCAGACAGATCTTTGTTTTTCCTAGGTCAGCCTGGTCTACATACAGAGCTAATTCCAGGACAATCAGGGCTACACAGAAAAACCCTGTCTTGAAAAACTAACAAAAAAAACCCAAACAAACAAACAAACAAAAAAAACTGCTTTCAAGCCTTTCGATCATTGTTAAATAGCTCAGACTTACATGGTAGGAGAGAAACAATTCCGGCAAACTCTTTTTTTCCCTCCACATGTATGCTGTGGCATGTGCATGCCCCATAAGTAAAATATTAAGTTTGTCAATATTATCTTCATTAAAAAACACACACACACATACGGGCTAGAGAGAAGGCTCAGCGGTTAAAAACTCTGACTGTTCTTCCAGAGGACCTGGGGTTCAATTCCCAGCAACCACATGGCAGCTTACAACATTATGAAAATCCAGTTCCAGGGGAACTGACACCTTCACACCGATTCACATAAAATGAAGTTAAATAAGCCATAAAATTTATTTAAAAAATTAAAAAAATACATATACATTAGTGCACAATTCATAGCTCAAATATGATCTAAACTCTTTTTTTGGGGGGGGGGGGATTGTTTTTCAAGACAGGGTTTTACTATAGCTATCAAATCTGTCCTGGACCTAGCTCTTGTAGACCAGGCCTGTCTCTGCCTCCCGAGAGCTGGGATTAAATGCATATGCCACCACCATGACCTAAATTTACCTAGCTATATATAAAGTACCAGACGTAAGTATTGGCCAACTGATTTCAATTGAAGCAACAAAGACAAAGTTTAGAGCAAAGTGACAGGTCTTTCATAAGTATGAATTCCAGACAGCCATGAAGACAATTATATTAGAAGCAGGAAAAAAACGTTGAGTGGTAAAGCAATTGATGAACAGGGAGAAACTTTTCAATTCTTGCTTATTCTGCTCTACTACTTGAAAGCAGTCAAGCTTTGCTCATTAGATCAAAGAAGTCTAGCCCTTAACTCAACAGTTGATATTCTTTAATAAAAGACAATGATTCAGCCAGGAAGGGCTTGTTCATGCCGTTAATCCCAGAGTCAGAGGATCTCTGAGAGGCCAGCCTGGTCTGCATAAAGAACTCTAGGAGAGCCTGACTACATAAAGAAACTCTATCTAAAAATTCAAAATAGATTCTGCAGTCGTGACCCAGACACACAGGAAGCAAGATGGTTGGCCTCCCCGAGAAAGGTACCAAACCACGTGGTTAACAGAGACATGAAATATGGGCTAATATAAGTTATAAGAATTAGTTAGGGGCTGGAGAGATGGCTCAGAGGTTACGAGCATTGCTTGCTCTTCCAAAGGTCCTGAGTTCAATTCCCAGTAACCACATGGTGGCTCACAACCATTTGTAATGGGATCTGGTGCCCTCTTCTGGCCTGCAGGCATATACACAGACAGAATATTGTATACACAATACATAAATAAATATTTAAAAAAAGAATTAGTTAATAAAAAGAACCTGAGAATCCGGGCGCCTTTAATCCCAGCACTCTGGAGGCAGAGACAGGTGGATCTCTGAGTTCAAGGTCAACCTGGTCTAAGAGTTAGTTCCAAGATAGGCTCCAAAGCTACAGAGAAACCCTGTCTCGAAAAATCAAACAGCCTGAGATACTGTGCCAATCAGTTTATAATTAATGCAGACTTCTGTATGATTTCATTGGGGCTGAATGGCTACAGGACCAGGTGGGACAGATACCACAGACAACAAATGGTGCCCACGTGGACAATTGCATCCACATAAAGCCTGAGAGAGCTTGGGAGTAATTCTAGACAGAACAGAGTTAAGCACGGCTTACTGATATCAGCATTTTCTCAGTTGAGCTCTTCTTGCTAGAGACAAGTGCTCTCATTTAAGAGGTTTCCTGACTCAGCATTAGCTGCAAAACCTTGAAACTCTTTTAAGAGGTCCTGCCTCGAAATACTTAAATGGTGTTGATGAAAAGCTGACTACATGCTTTTTGGTGGTGGCAGGGACCTTGAAATGCCATAGAGTTGTGGCAATCTCAGAAAGCTAAAGAATGGGCTGGATACAGCCATCAAAGCCATGGCTTTAATCCTAGCCATACTGCTTAACAAATTAAAGACTCGTGTGGTCAGAAAGAGAGATATACAGTAAAGATAGATTCAAAGATGAAGAAAACCTCTGAATGGTTTACTGTGTGTTTAAAAATATATGTAGGCTTGGGAGGGGAAAATGCATAACGTCCTTAAGAGAAAAAAGGAGCAGTTGGGTATGGTGGCACACCTTTAAATAAAAATAAAAGAAATAGAATTTAAAGTAAAGCCACATAAAGATGGAAAATACAGAGTCTAGATACTGTATTTTATTATGTTGTCTTTAAATTTCTTGATAGCTGCGTAAGTAGCAACAGCTGCTAAGACATTTGAATGCTTCTGGATTAATAAAATATTTTGAAAATACCTTGACTTCAAAATTGAAGTCAAAAGGTATATTACTTTGAAGAAGAGGTTCTGTTTCCACAAGAAATGAGAGACTATGGATTCATTCCAGATTTAGAAAAATCAGGTTTAGGGGGCTGGAGAGATGGCTCAGAGGTTAAGAGCATTGCCTGCTCTTCCAAAGGTCCTGAGTTCAATTCCCAGCAACCACATGGTGGCTCACAACCATCTGTAATGAGGTCTGGTGCCCTCTTCTGACCAGCAGACATATACACAGACAGAATATTGAATACATAATAAATAAATTAAAAAAAAAAGAAAAATCAGGTTTAATTAAGGAAGACCCCCTGAGAAATCTCCAATAGGAGCAGATGGCCCAGATGTCTGAGTTCTACATCCAGAACAGATTCAGGATTGCTGCCTGAGATGATCCAGGCTCACAGGATACTTCAGTGATGACTTGATCATAATTCTAAATTTTCTTTAGGTCCCAATAAGATTATCAGCACCCTCAATGAGCAGCCTGAAAAACTACACTCACATTCTCAAAAAATGGACTATGGATATTTTCCTTTGTTTAGAATGTTGGTTACAAGTTGTTGTGGATAACGGTCAGGAGAAAAGCTAAACAAAAGAGATTCAGAGTTCTTGCTTTAAAAAAATGGGAGGGGATGCTGTGGGACAATGGTTTACACCCTGTCAATTGTAATTTAATAAAAAGCTGATGGGCCAGTAGCCAGAAAGGAAGTATAGAAGGAACAAACCAGGCAGGAAGTAGAGGCGGGGCTATGAGAACAGGAGAATTCTGGGAAGAGAAAAGCTCATTATGCAGTCGTGACCTATACACAGAGGAAGCAAAATGTGATTGCCTTATCAAGAAAGGTACCAAGCCACGTGACTAACATAGACAAGAAATATGGGGCTAATACAGGTTGTAAGAATTAGTCAAGAAGAGCCTGAGATACTGAGCCAATCAGTTTATAATTAAAAAAAACAATAAATAATTAAAAAGACAGACAATGACTTAAGTACTTAGTATATGATAATTTGGTACTGACAACAAAGAAGTTAATGGACAAGTGCTATACCATCAAATGTATCTTGGTGTGTAATTTCACCTCTGCAGAGTAAATGCTTCAGTGCCTGCTGTAGAATAACCCTTTTAGAACACTGTGAATATGTATTAATCTCATTGGTTTAAGAAAGAGCTGACTGGCCAAAAGCTAGGAAGGAAGAGGTGAGGTAGGAGAGTCAAACTGAGAAAATAAAGGGCAGAGCCATGGGAGTCGCCAGCCAGACGCAGAGGAAGCATATGAACATGCTGTACTGAGAAAAGGTACTGTCACATGGTAGAGCATAGATAAGAAATATGGGTCAGCCAGGTGGTGGTGGCGCATGCCTTGGGAGACAGAGGCAGGTGGATCTTTGTGAGTTCGAGGCCAGCCTGGTCTAAGAGCTAGTTCCAGACCACTCAGATTGTTACACAGAGAAACCCTGTCTTAAAAAATAAAACAAAATATAAATTAATTTAGGATGTAAGAGCTAGTTAGTAACAAGGCAAAGGTATCCGCTGAACATATAATTAACAAGTCTCTCCATGGTTATTTGGTTTGGGTTTTTTTTTTTTTTTGGTTTAAAAAAAAGCGCTGGGATTAAAGGCGTGCGCCACCACCGCCCGGCTTCTCCATGGTTATTTGTGAGCCAGCTGGTGGAACAGAGCTGACTGGCAGGACAGAGAAAGTCGGCCTACAAGTGACTTCCCAAAGAACTCAAAATCTTAATTTTAAATTACATGAACCTTGCCTATTATCTCCTGCTGCTCATCCTAGGCTCAGAACCCCGAGTGAGTATAGGCTTTCATTAAGACAGTCCCTAAACACACGAAGAGTCCAGGAAAAGAAAGAAAGAAAAGAATTTAAGGCAGTAAGTTTTTCCTTCATAAGGTAATTTTTCAGGGAAAACCTTGACTAAGATGAGGGCTGGAGAGATGTCCATACAGGTTATGTGCATGAGCTGTTCTTCTGGAAGACCTTTTTTGAGTTCTAGCACCCATGTTGGGGGACTTAGAACTGTCTACAACTTCAGAGACTCAAACATCCTCTTCTAGATTCCATGGGTATCTGTGCCTACACACACATACCCATACACCAACACACATGCACACACACACCACATACATATTTCACACACATACCCATACACCAACACACGTGCACATACACACCACATACATACTTGCAAATAACTTAAGATCAATCTTTTAAAAACTGTCAGGTGTGAACTATAGAGACAAAAAATAGGTAAGTTCCAGGTTACCTAGAGACTGGAACTTATTATATTGAGACTTATATATTGAGACTTATATAGTGTATAAGTATTTATATACAATATCTAAAATATATATTTTATATATAATATATAAAGACTTTATATAAGACTTTATATTATATATAAACTTATATATTGAGACTATCTCAAACAAACAAAAATCCTTAAAATACTGACTAAAATTGTTCTCATTTTTTTCTCTTAGAAAACCAGGGGCTACCTGTGCGGTAATCCCAGTCCTCATGAGGCAGAGGCAAGTGGATTTGACAGTCTGATCTAGAGTGAATTCCAGACAGTCAAGGCTGTTTCAGAGAAATCTTGTCTTGAAAAGAAAAAAGAGAGAGAGAGAGAGAGAGAGAGACAGAGACAGAGAAAGAGAGACAGAGAGAGAGAGAGACAGAGAGAAAAAGAAAACCAAGGGCTGGAGAGATGGTTCTGTGGTTAAGAGCACTAACTGCTGTTCTAGAGGACCTGGGTTCAATTTCATGGCAGCTCACAACTATCTGTAATTCAAGTTCCTGGGGACCCAACTCCCTCTCACAGGCATACATGCAGGCAAAACACCAATGCACATAAAGCAAACTTTAAAAAAAAAAAAAGTCTTTCATTATCTCAGTATTTTCTATGAATGAGGCAATTTCAATGTAAATTTAAAATAACAATGGCATTACACTGCTTTCCAAGAAAATATACAAGAATAAAACCTGTAAGGAATTTCACTCTATTTTGTACAGTTTAAGCAGGGTTGTTACACAGAGAAACAGTCTAAAAAAAAAAACAAGAAAGAAAGAAAGAAAGAAAGAAAGAAAGAAAGAAAGAAAGAAAGAAACAAAGAAACAAAGAAACAAAGAAAGAAAGAAAGGCGATGGTGGCACACACATTTAATCCCAGCACTTGGGAAGCAGGAGCAGGTAGATCTACAGCAGAGAAACCCTGTCTTAAAAAACAAAAATCAACAAAAAAAAATTATGTGTGCGTATGGGGGGTGTGTTATAGTTTGAATGCTAAATAAATAAATAAATAAATAAATAAATAAATAGGTCAGGACAGAAGGCCAAACAAGCCAAAACCATTACTGCTGCAGGTGGGTTACCGTGACATACACATGTGATGACAGAGATGGCGCTAACTAACACGATTCATCCCCATGCATCTTCAAAACCGTCAAGGTAAAATGAAGACACAGGCCAGCTGACCTCTCTTCCGCTGGCTGCTTGACTGAGCCTCGTCTTCGCTGACATTCTCAACAGGACCATCTAGTTTTGCTTCCCGGTTCTCTTTGCTCTCACAGTTGCTTCTTTTTTCAATCTTCTCTTCTTTTTCTTTTCTAATTTGTGGTTTCTTATTTCCTTGGCTGATAACACTTTGAGACTGAAAAAAAAAAAGTGTTCTGAATAGAATCATTTCTATTAACATTTCACTTAAAAAAAATCAACATCTATTCTAAATATTGCTAGGAAAATAACTCACTGAAAATAAAAACCTGGAAGGGTAGAGCACTTGTGTAGTACGCATGAGGTACTGGTGTAGACTGCTAATTTGACCAACACACGTGACTACATTGCCATCAATAGTCTAAGAAATGCTAATTAACTATATTTACTACAATGGCTACTGTTTTAAAAACTGACCAAATAAATCAGTACCAGTGGGAGTGAAAGTTTGGCAGTTTCTTCTCCTTTTTTTTTTTTTTTTGTTGTTGTTGTTTTTGAGACATGGTTTCTTTGTGTAGCCCTTGTTGTTCTGGAATTCACTTTGTAGATCAGGCTGGCCTCAAACTCAGAGATCTGCCTGCCTCTGCCTCAGTGCTGGTATAACGACATGGGCCACCACTGCCCAGTCCTTAGAAGATTCTTTAAAAAAAAAATCAATTGCTAGTATATGATCTTGCCACTCTTCTCCTAGTTATTAACTATGAGTGGAAAAAAGGAAATATCCATTCAAATTTTATATGGAGAGTTTCATTTATATTAATTCAATGTCCATTACATTACATTACAACCATAAATTGAAATGTGTCACTGATACAACATGGAAAAATCTACTGAGTAATCAAAGTACCAGGTGAATATATGGATGCCAGGGGCTAAGTGAAGCTTCCAACTAAACAGAACAATAGTGCCCCCTACACTATTCTACATACACAGGAAATATAGCAACATTGCAGGCAGGAGCCAAGTGTTTGTTCTCAGTGATAAGTTTACTGCACAATCTGATAAAAACCAGGTGGTGGTGAAGGTGGTGCATGCCTTTGATCTCAGCACTAGGCAGGTAAGACAGGCAGATCTAGGTGAGTTCAAGGCCAGCCTGGTCTACACAGCAGGTTCCAGTTCTAGGATACGTAGAGCTACACAGAAAAACCTATGTGGACCACAAACAAAAAACCACCCACTCCAAAAACAAAACAAAACAAAAACAATTGAGTGAGGTAACCTAGACACAGAAAGACAATTACATGTACTCACTCATAGGTGGTTTTTAAACATAAAGCAAAGAAAGCCAGCCTACAAACCACAATCCCAGAGAATTTAGACAACAATGAGGACACTAAAGACGTACATAGATATAATCTACATGGGAAGTAGAAAGTAGAAAAAGACAAGATCTCCTGAGTAAAATGGGAGCATGGGGACCTTGGGGGAAGGACTGAAAGGGGAAGGGGAGGGGCAGGGAGGGAAGCAGAGAAAAATGTAGGGCTCAATAAATATCAATAAAAATGTATTAAAAAAATGCCAGGTGATGGTGGAGCACACTTTTAATACCATCACTAGGGAGGCAGACACAGGCGAATCTTTGTGAGTTCGAGGCCAGCCTGGTCTATAGAGAGAGTTTGAAACAGGCTCCAAAGCTACAGAGAAACCTGTCTTGAAAAAACAAAACAACTAAAAGGATTGTCAGGTTTAGGTTGGGCGTGGTGATGCGCTCCTTTAAACCCAGCACTGCAACACAGGCAGGCAGACTTCCTTGAGTTTGGGGACTGTCTAGTCAGTCTACAGAGTTCTAGGTCAACAGGGGCTATGTAGAGAAACCCTGTATCAAAAAACAAAAGCAACCCCCCCCACACACGCACAAATAATAATAAGCAGTAGAGAGACAGCTCGGCAGATAAGAGCACATGTTGCTCTTCCAAAGGACCTGAGTCAATTTCCAGCACTCAGTTTCTCACAACCAGCAAATTAGGGAAGCAGGCAGTCCTTCTGACCTCCACAGGCATCAAGCATGCACATGTTGCCCGTACAGATAGAACACTCGTACACATTAAATAAGTAATACTAACCTTTTTTTTTAAGTTAAAATGAAATGTAATCCTTTTTGTTAAAATAAATAAATAAACAAACAACAAGAGTGATACAAACACCTTACCCCAACTCCTGGGGATATAGCCAGGTAGGGAAATATAAATGAAAGTAATATCTTATAACTGGGTAAAAAAACAAACAAAAAGGATAGCTGTCAAGTTTTTAATCATCATATCAAGGCATATAAATATAAAAATGTAACCGACCTTTTGGAAATTATATTTGATCATTATTTAAAAATTAAAAGGAAAATTACTCTGGGTAAATGTTAAGCCACTAAATTCATTACTAATACTAAATGTTTCAAGTCAAAATAATCGTACTGCTGAGCTATATCTTTAAATACACCCAATACAACAAATAATGCTGAGATAAGAATTCTTTTTAAAAGACACACATACTCACCCCCGTGTTCGCTAATTCACCTGGTGTTGGCCAATTTGCCATATCACTGAAGTCACTAGCCTAAAATGTAATAAAATAATTGTTACAACCAAAAATGATTTTTAGAATTTTTAGATAGAAAAAATATTCTAAATGTAATTTTTGTTCCAGTCACAATGAGACGTGCCAGAAATCCTGAGCACTTAGAAGTAGGAGAAATAAGAATTCAGGGTCAACCATGGACACTAGACTAACCTGAGCTTCAATGAGACACCCCACCCTCCCCAACTAGCACTCTAGGCCAGCCTAGTCTACATAGTGAGACCCTGTCTCAATCAAAGCGGGGGTGGGGGGGGGCAACAGCAAAATCAAATAAAGTAAGAGTATTTTTCAAAATCACCTCTATTTATTTATATGTGGATTTGGCAAGCTAATTCAAATATTTCTTAAATATTTTGAAGTTAAAATTCAATGATATTAGGATCAAACTTAAATCAGAATTGTTTTAAATGATTTTCAATCAATACATTTAAAAAGTACATCCTAGGGGGCTGGAGAGATGGCTCAGAGGGTAGAAGCACTGGCTGCTCTTCCAGAGGTCCCGAGTTCGGTTCCCAGCAACCACATGGTGGCTCACAACCATCTCTAATGAGACCTGGTGCCTTCCTTGCCAGCAGTACATTGTATGCTTAATAAATAAATAAATCATTTAAAAAAAAAAAGTACATCCTATAAAAGCATACCTTGTTGGATTTCTTTGTCTTGAGTTTTCCCGCTTTTATACTTTTTGGGGAACTGAGCTCTAAAGAAAATATATAAAATTATTTTTCAACCATTTCACTTATTAAGTTTAGCAAAACAAGTATTTCAATTTTGGCAAGTTAGCAGTCATAACTCACAATAAAAGCCAAGTTTCTGGTACTCAAATTCCTTGAAAGACACCAACTATAATATGCAAATTCAAATGTTATCTGCATTTAAAAAGTAGAAAATACTAGCAGGCAAGTGGGGGCTCAAACACTTAATCCCAGCATTTGGGAGGCAGAGGCAAGCAGCTCTTACATCCAGGGCTATTCAGAAAAACCCTGTTTTGAAAAACAAAGGAAAACATCAATTTATACTTAACTGGCAGACCAATCCTTTTATTAAGAAAATACACTACACTGGGTGAGGGTGGCTGGCACACACCTTTAATCCCAGAACTCATGAGACAAAAGCAGGCAGATCTGAGTTCAAGAACAGCCTGGTATACATGGTGAGTTCTACTTCATAGGGCTACACAGAGAAACCCTGTCTCTAAACCCCCCCCCAAAAAAAGCAAAAACAACAAACCAAAGAAGAAAATATACCATAATAAAACTAAAATTGCAACAAAATTCTACTCTACCCACTCCCTTTTAATTTTTTGGCATGTCGTAAAAGGGAAGATAAGTGTTCTACTTCCAAGTTACAGTCCCAACCCTCAACTGATTTTGTAATAGGATAAATATTTCTATATAATAGAACATTTATTTTATATATAATATATATTATATCTTATATAATGTTAATATAAGAAAATAGAAAATGATTTAAGACTTTAAACTACTTCTAGAAAACAAACAGATCTGGCAACCTTAATAGACCATGCCTAGTCACTCTTAGGGATACTGTTGCTGTAAAACACCATTACCAGAGGCACAAATAAGACTCAGGTTAAGAGTACATGTTGTTTTTAAAAAAGACCCAGGTTCAGCTCCTAGTACACAGGTGATGACTTGCAGCAATACATAAATACAGTTCCAGGGAATCCAACACCCTCTTCTGACCTCTGTGGACACTAAGAAGCACACACATGGTACACATACATACATGTAGGCAACACTCATACACATAAACTAAATAAATCTTTAAAAAATACTTCCAAAACTGGGCGGTAATGGCGCATGCCTTTAATCCCAGCACTCGGGAGGCAGAGGCAGGCGGATCTCTGTGAGTTCGGAGACCAGCCTGGTCTACAGAGCTAGTTCCAGGACAGGCTCCAAAGCCACAGAGAAACCCTGTCTCGTAAAAC